ATATACACACAGTGGTGCCTTGCATAGCGAGGTTAATCCGTTATTTTTTAATTATTGTTATTGTTATTGTTGTTGTTGTTGTTGTTGTTGTTGTTATTATTATTATTATTATTATTAGTTTATTCTATGGCCCCTTTCTTATGTACTAATGATAAACATCCTGGTTTAGATATCAGGAGTAAGTTATCTTCAGGACATTGTAGAAAGAACATGTTGTGTGGCTTCCTTCATTCTGCAGTCCTCTGTGCCTCCCACTCCAAACCTCTCCAGAGAATAGAAGGTTCCTCCAGAAAGAAGGTGGAATAAAGTGAGTGACTGCTGAGGAAGGAGGAAAGAGAGAGGAGGAGAGTTCCTTCCATACGAAAACAATAGAGTCCCATGGCACATTAAAGAGTAACACACCCTGATTATAGCTTTTGTGAACTATATCCCATTTAATCAGATGGAGGAAGTACGATCCAGATTTTCAGGTATATGTATAGTAGAAGCAAAAATTGGAGTCAAAAGTCGGACCCTCACACCATCTTGTCCTTTACTGATCTCTCACCCGAAAACAGGACACCTTTCTTTCACTAAACATCTTAGGTTAACCTTATAATCTTTTAAGATTTTTAAACAAAATCTCTTTTTTTTATAAAGTGTATTTTTATTCATACTAAACTTTAATTTTAAGCTTGTAATAAGGTCTGTTGATACAGCTAAAATGGAAACATTTGTTCATGATATTGGTCTAAGCTGCCTACAAAATGCAAAGTGACTCATGAAATTCTCCCTTCTGATACCAATAGGAATTTTTAGGTACAGAATTCCTAAGCCCCAGGATCCCCCAGCCAACATGGCCGTTGGCTTGCCATAGTGAATGAGGAATTTATAGCTTCACAGAAGGAACATGTCTCTGCACATGTACTTTCCATGGCCATAGGCATCCTTCAGTCTTGAGAGACTATGGTAACATGCTCTGGATCGAGGAGTGTCCTCTCCAGAGCATGAAGCCTGGGTAAAGGAATATGGAGGATAGGCTGTTACCCAAGCAGCAAATCCCCCCTCTCCATGTCGCTGAAATCGTCCAATGGAAAGCCAAGAGCCAATACAACTGGTTCCAGCAATGTCGCAGGAGTTGCCAGAACGACAGGAACTGCCTCAGGGACTCCGGCTCTGGATTTTGCCTCGAGGTTATCTCCTGAAGCCTTTTCCACCAGTGGATATAGCCACAAGGCAGTGGAGGTTTGAAATTGGAGTTTTCCTTCTAGATGGGCTGCCTTCCATGGCTGACGAGCCCCACCTACCCAGCATGTACTTTCCCTTAGACTAGAAAATGCACATATAAACTGGTGATGTGCCTACCACTGAGTGGGCTGGATCACACTGCTTCAGAAAATTATATAAACCTTTTTGGATTAGACCAAAGCCTCACCTAGTTAATTATTTTTGTCACAATGGCCAACCAGATGCCAAGGGAAAATATGCAATCAGGGCCTAAGCACAATAACCCTCTCTTGCAGTTATTCTCAAGTGACTAGAATTCAGATGCTTACTGCCTCTCAATCAAATATTAGGAACATTATTTTGGTATAGGGTTCAAAAGTCCCAGAAACCCTCAGCCAACAACTAGCTTGCCATATTGATTGATTTTTGAGACTTGCAGCTGCACAGAAGTAACATTTTCAAATTCTGCTCAGCTCCTAAAGGTTGTGTACAATTCTCAGGATTAACAGCCATCAGATGAGATATACAAAAAAAAATAAGGTCATGTTAAATGCTGCTGTTCAGGGTTCCAATTACTCAATTCCACTCTATCCCCCCTGCCCTCCATTTTTCCATCCTCACCTCTGAGTTAGCATTCTTTGGCCACTGAGTGTGTCTGCCCCTCACTCTATATTTACTGTGTTTCTTCCCCCTACCCTCATAACATTTTCTATGTTAAATTGTTATGTGCCTCAACAGGCCTTGTAGTTTTCCCTAACATGTCTATATTTCCATCCTGTGGGTGGGCAGGTGGTACCATTCTGGCCACAGAAGCAATGGCACACAAAGCCTTATCTTCTGCAGATGTGTCAATAAGTCACTTTTAAAGCATATACGATGGTAACTATCATCACAGTTTTCACAAAGTGCTGCATGAAGAAGGATGTTGCTTGATCAGAAGCCAATTTCCAGTGCTGAGACAGATCTGGTACTGTGGACTTTAAAAATGTAAGAAATGGTTCTGCTAGACGAGACAAGAAATTCAGTCTAGCATCTTTTTCCTAATAGATAACACATGGGTCCTTCTAGTGAGGTTTTTTGTTTTGTTTTGTTTTTTTGTTCAGGGAAGGTCTCCCTTCTACAACATATGATTGCTATAATCACAACAGTGGACCCCAGGGATGTAAACTGTATCCAAGTTTATAAGCAACATTCTTAGAAAGGGGAGGGGAGTCTTGCTCTGAGATGCAAATTTTTCTTTATTTATCTTGGAAAGAATTGATGCATTTGAAGATTGTTTTTGTGGCTGTACAAAATTCAAAATACAATAATATTTTCCTTGTTGTATGGACTATTTAAAAAAAATACTAGCATGGATGGTTTGTCTGTGCCTTTTTGAGTAATCAGCCTTGCTTCTGAACCATAAATGAAATACTGGTGAAATGTCTTCAAAACCTTTATCCACACATGGTGACTACTTTCAAACAGACACATACATGCAAACTACTACTCATATTTTCCTACTGACCTGGGCCCAAATTTGCATAATTTTTAATGTATTGAACTTACATTGTTCTACCTGATAAATAAAAGAAATGCAACTTATAAAACTGCTTAGCACACATATTCTCTTGGTGGAAGGAAACTTACCAATCTCAAATAATGTACATTTTAATTAGATAGAAATGGAGGAGGGTAGAAGGCAAGGACAGGAAAAACAGGCATAATTAACTCACAAGGGGGTGGAGTTGTGATCTGTTTCTATTTCAGTTCATGTTTTCTTAGAAGGCAAACTTAAATACTGTCTCTGAGCTGCCTGTGTGGGAAAATGCTCATGCCAAATTAAAGTTTTTGTCCTTACTTACATCACTGAGGTAACGCTCCATCCACTTGATGATGTCAATACCTCGGATAGTGTCTTCAAATATATCAATCTATGAGAAAGTGAAAGTTTAAATCTGATTTCTTCAGTTCTGACTGTATGGAAGGAGCCAAGTATGTCCCTCACTTTAGTGACTGTCCTGGTTTTCAAGTCAAATGTTTTTGATGCAAGTGTGTGTGTGCACGCTCGCATGTGTATGCACATGCCTGATAATAATAATAATGATGATGATGATAAGAAGAAGCCTTCAATTCTGACTTATGGTGATCATTTTCAGAATATTCTAGGTAGTGAGTATTCAGAAATTGGATTACAATTTCCTTTTTCTGGGGGCCCCCAGAGACTCTGCAGTTTACCCAAGGTGCACCAGGCTGGCTGTACTTCTGGAAGGGACAGTAGGGAATCAAACTCCCATCCTCTAGGTCCATAGTTTACTTCCCATTAAAAATGACAGAATATTTACTCTAGCTTAGTAATTTTTTTTGTTGGCTGACAAGTGGTCTTCAGGAACCTCCCTCAGCTAATGGTCCTGTCATCTATGACACTCTTAAAAGTTACAAGGGAGAGGGCGAGAAGAGTTTCTTGCAGGCTAGGCCAAATGGCTATTCTAAATGGATAAGCAACATAGCGAGTCAGCTTCAGACCTCATGGTATCAGTGTTCTGCACTGATACCATCCTAGCAACATGTGAAGCTGGGCTTTCCCAATATGCAAGTATAACAGAGGGACTAGCTAGTTGTACATATACAAGACCTTGAACAGGGATCCTTGATTCACTTGAACTCTTTTGGAAAGAAAAATTAGAGGCACCCCAAGAAAAAAGTTATGGAAAGCAGTGGCCACTAAGGCTGTAGTCCCTATGGACATTTACTTGGGAGCAAGCCTCAGTGAGTATAGTAAATATGCATAGAACAGGATTCCCAATGTTCTGTGAGAATGGTAACGTATTCTAAAGAATTACCAACAGAACCACTTTCTCATCTGCTTCCCTTTGCCAAAATCCAGTTTTTCAGAATGAAATACTTACAGCAGTGTAAAAACCATTTACAGACAAAAAATTCACCAATTTCATGACCTCTTCAGCTGTGTCCACAGAATAGGTTATAAAGACTTTACCTAGGAGAGAAGTTGATATGGTCATAAAAAATAAAAAGAAACAGGCTAGAAATAAGAGAAGTCTCAATTTCCCTGGCTTTACTCATACAGATAAGACAAAAACATCTATCTTGTTTTATCCTACTTTTATTATTTACAAAATGAAGCCAAACTGGCTTGGTTGCCCAGGGATCATTTCCACTAGAGGCATCAGGATTACAAAACAATCTGCCCCATATCCTGCTCTCCATGAAAAAGTCCTGAGAGCACAAGACATATACCATGGAACATGCTCATTCTCTAGTTACCTACTGATTCTTAAAGCCTAACACCAGAAAATTACATTAAAGGGGGGGGGGAGAGAATTTGTAGGAACGAGCACTGATAGTTTTATTCATCTGCCCTACAGTACACAAGTCATCTAAACACTGTTTTTCTAAATTAATTAAATGGTGTCCAGTTAGTGATGGATAGATGAGCCTGTGTAACAGTTGTCCTCAACCTTGGGTCTCAGATGTACTTGGACTACAACTCCCAGAAATCTTGGCCAGCATCGCTAGTGGTGAAGGCTTCTGGGAATTTTAGCCCATCTGGGGATCCAGGGTTGGGAATTCTGCTGTATACGACGACCTTTGTGAGTTTCAAGTACATCTATGAAGCTGCTGTGTCCTATATACAAACTGATCAACTAATTTTGGAAAATCAGAATGAAAATTTGTATTTAAATATTTGAACATACTGTCCATTCAATTACATATTTTTCAAATGTTTTTAAAAAACCAAATATATGTTTCTAAATGAGTTCAATGTATATTTTTGTACATTTCTTGAGCAAAGAATGGCATTGCAAAATTTGGAGAAGTGGAAATTTGAAGGATAACGTGCTCATTTTTCTTTTCTTTTTTTGCAATCAAAGTTTTTATTTTCATGTCAAGGTAAGGAACAGAAGGGAACAATGGGGAACAATGTGGATAAAGATAAAAAGGGAGTGAGATTGGAAAGGTACCTTACATGCAATTAATATATTTCCCATATAGTATACGATTAATTGAAATTATACTTTTAATATGTTACACAATCTGATTCAGACACACTTAGTGTTAATGTAATCATTAGTTACATGGCTGTTTATATTTTTGTATTATCTCTTGCTCTTTCTATTTTGAAACCATACATATAGTTTTTCCCAACATTACTGGTGGTTCTTTTTCCTTGTTTCACCTAGCCATTCTGATCATTTATCCATTTCTGCAGTTTCAAAAATCTTGGCTATCAGTTCCTCTATTTGTGGTATTTCAGGCTCCTTCCATTGTTTTGCAAAAATTAATCTTGTGGCTATTATAATATGAATGCCTAAGTATTGAGTCTGGCAAAATATTTGATAAAAATATTTTGGGTTTCATAGGAACTGGACTTTTAAGAACCTCTTGTAACAAAAGCCTCACTTTGTTCCAATATCTTTCCACTTTTTTACAAATCCACCACATATGACAGAATGATCCTTCCTTCTGTTTGCATTTCCAACATAATTTTGATATTTGGGCATTCATTTTAGCTAAAGTTAAAGTGCTCATTTTTCTGATCAGGAGAGCTCACCAGAATTTGCAAAGTGCATCCCTATATCTTGTACTCTAGGGCAGTGGTCCCCAACTTTGGGCCTCCAGATGTTCTTGGACTTC